GGTTTTCCTGGGTGTCACAGCTGCCACGGAGGCAGTGATCCACAGCTGCTTCTTTTCCATCATTCAGGTCTTAGCAAAATGTCACCTCTGCTGAGAGGTGTCTGCAGGCCCCTGCCTACAGTGGTCCTCTGGTGTCTCTGGATCCCATGACCTTACTTTGCCTCTTCATGCATTTGTCATCACTGCGATGGGCCTCACTTAACTTTTCGTGGCTCTGGGTTTCTCATCTGTGTTCCCTGCTAGCCCAGAACACCCACAAAGCAGGAGCCAGACCCACATGCCCCATCCACAGCTCCTTGGGCAGTTGGCCTTGAGACAAATTCTCTGATCAATGGACTGTATTTTCTATTTTTTTTAATTTGCCTTTAAAAAAAAAAGATATTATTTATTTATTTGAGAGAGAAAGAGAGCCAGAAAGATCACAGAGGGAGAGAAAGAGGGAAAAGCAGACTCTCCACTGAGCAGGAAGCCTGACTTGGGGCTCAACCCCAGCCAAGACCCTGGGATCATGACCTGAGCCAAAGGCAGATGCTTAACCGACTGAGCCACCCAAGCTCCCCTAAATTTGCTTAAAAAAAAAAAAAAAAAAAAAAAAAAAAACCTGGGCTAGGTTCAATTAGTTATTATAAGTGGTTGGTCAAAAATGAGCCAGGGTAGCCTCCACGGGCTTATCTGGCTGTGAGTGAAGGAAGCGAATGCCTTGCCTTTCCCCAGGGTAGGTCAGGCGGTGAGCATCGCAGCCTTTCTCAGCCCAGGCTACCCAGAGTTGCCTGGCCCTGGAGATCTCTCTGCCTGGGACAGGGTTATCTCAGCGTGCTGAGTCTCCCACGTGGGGTGAGGCCTCCCTGAATCTCAGGGGGGCAACAGGGAGCCCCCCAGGCCAAACGCAGCCCACGGGAGGCGTTCCTTGGCCCCGTGCAGCTCCAACAGCTTGGAATTTTGCCATCATTTGAAAATCAACTTTGGACGAAAACTAAAGCATCATCCCCAGGGGTACAAAATAAGATGAGAATATGGAAGACGGGACGATTCCATGTCCTTACAACGACAAATGTGCCAACACATACAAACTTAATGCAGTTTCAAGGAGTGGTCCAAGGGGTCATTTCATTGGATAAACTCATGTTGGGGCTTACAAAGAAAAGTATGAAATAGAAGAATGGTGAGAAGGACTATGTGGCAAAGGTGGTATTTTGACTCGCTGGGAAATAGAAGATTTAATCCAGGATGCCAGCATAGTACAGTTATCAATTTATTTTATTTATTACTATAGTGAAACAAAATCTGGTCTTACAGGGGATTTTAAAAATCCAGAGATTTCCCAGGAAACATCTGGAGTTCTGACCTGCCTGAAAACTCACTGGTAACAGCAGGCCCTCGTTTTCCTGAGATAGCCACAGGCTGGTGTGGATTCGAAAGTCAGGGGCTTTCTGATTCACCCGAGTCTCCACCACTCCCTACTGTCTCCCACCTGGCCGCCTTCAGTCATCTGTGTGTCTTGCCCGGGCACCGAGGTCATTGGATTTTGTAGCGCCTACGCCCGGGCCTGGGCACAGCAGCGAGGTTCAGGGCACATTTGAAGCTGGATGTCTGCTGTTAGCTACCCTTGCACTGGCCTTTCTAGGCGGAAATACAAACCTGGAGGAGGAATGTGGCTTAAGGAGGGGTGAAGAGTGTGGAGCTGAGAGTCAGGGAGGCTTGAGCCACCTCTGAAGAGTGGCTCCAGTGCTTCTGTTTCATCCTCTGCCAGTGGGGATCGTAAGAGCCGTCACTCATCGTTTGCACCATCTGTGCCATTGTTCTGACTACAGGCTCGGCCCAGGGCTCTATGCAAAGCCGCACCAGGGAAACCTTCTCGACTTTGGGGTTCTTGGTTCTCAGCTTCATGAGGGAGAGAAGGTGGGCAGAGCAGAGGATTTGCTTTCATCTCCTTGCGCCAGAAAGGAGGAAATAAAATAAACAAACAGACCCTGGCCTCCTTTGATTCCACTGTCTGCTAGAAGAACTCTGGAGCTGATAAGAACAGGCCAAATTAGAATTGGGCAACTGCCCCACCTCCTGTCAGCCTTTGGAATCGGGGACCCCAAAGCCTGCTCCATTCCAGGCATCTGCTTCAGTTCCCATCTCGCCTTCCCCAACAGGGGAGACCCTGTGAGAGAGGAAGTGGACAAGATTTCCCCACCACGGAACCCCGCTTATGGGATGAGAGAAGATGCTTGGGAAGGGACCCCGAAACACGTTAGCAGCCAGGCCCCCCCGGTCCCGGGAAGGAGCCCTCCAAATGGGGACGACTGAAAACTGCAATTCCCTGGCATTCACCCTGGCAGAGAAGTGGTGGAAGGGGGTGAAGCCGTTGGTGAAGAGCAGGAGCCTCCCCCCACCCGGTGGCTGGCGGAGAGGAGTCACATGGCCCAGGGATTCCCAGGGTAGCTCTCAACCCATCCTACTTGTGTTTGTGTGACTCTGGGCAAGTGGCTTCCCCCCATCCAGCCTCAGTTCCCCGATGTGTCCTAGCCCCCACCCCATAGGACTGCTAAGGGTTAGACGAGCCCATGTCTGTCGGGTGCCTGGTGCACAGTGGGTCCAGCTGTTGGGCACTGTTATTTTTAAATGGCTCAGAGAGTCCCCGCTGGGCCTCAGGTGGAGAGGTTGAAGGAGGACCAGTTGTTTGAAATCTCTACAGGCACCAAGGGCCTTTGGTCAACAAGGTCAGGACTTGGCACCTGTTTGAAGTTGGAAAGAGGCACGTGGAGAACAAAGTTTAGCAGACAAACAGAGGCCACTTCCTCCATGTGACCCACAAGTTTGCCCCGGCCACTGACCCCAAGAGCTTCCCCAGGCCTGATAAGGAGCTGAGGGTTCAGGCACAGGAGCCGAGAGAACAGTTTCTGGGGCAGAGGCTCCTTCCCGCGTCCATTCCTCCCTAGTCCAATTCCTCCCATGACCTGTGTGTCCTGGCCACAGCGTCTCCACCTGTAAAACGGGGGCCAGGGTGACACCGGCCTCATAGGCTTTGAGGATAGGATACGTGACATTCAGTTGGTGCTCAATGAATGAGCCAAAGTCTTTCGTTGGCCTCACACCACGGATAAGGCAGGTCGAGCTGGGGTCGGTGGAGGGACTGAATGGCTTTGAGATCCTCCTTAGGAAACCCCAGGTTCAATTCCACAGCAGTGGCCCAGCCATGGCCACGGGAGGCAGGTGCTCACTCTGCTTTGCACACCTGGCCTGTGCCAGCATGTGTGAACCCGGACACCCTGTGTGATGCACCGAGAGGCCAGATGACCCGTCCCAGGCCACACAGCCCCCGCCCCCCCGACTGTCTGGAGTCATAGCGGGAGGTGGAGCTCAACTCATCTGGCTTCCGTCTGCCCCTGCTCTGCCCCCCTGGCTTTGCCAAAGCCCACGGTCCCTTTCTTCACTACCCTCCATCCCACTTCCCCCATCCGGCCAAGCTGGCAGGGAGCTCCTTCTGGCTCCTCCACGCATGTTCTAGCATCAACTCCTTTCAGCGAGGACACACCTCCCCTCTCCCTGGCAGGCCTCAGGTCAGGCATTCACAGCCTATGGGCCTCGTCTGGCCTCAGACATGCTCCGTGTGACCTCACACACAGTGTGTGTATGTACATGGGACCAGGGCTACTTCCTCCCCCTCATAATTTTGTATCATTTGCTAACACTTAAAATTGGAGATGTCACATAAAAACCAGGATTTCCAGATTCTTTTGGAAAGTCGGCAGCTCTGGCCTACTCCAGCTCCTTTGGCACCAATGAGCTGGAATAGTGTTCTGGGTCCCCCCAGTCCCCGGGCTCCAGGCTGGCCCACCTCATCATCTCTGGGACTGCCCTCTCTGCCCAGAAACCTTCTCCCATAAAGGCCCCAGGCTCACTTCAGAGCTGAGCAGGGTACCCACCCTCCCAACCACCCCTCCTGACCACCACATTGCATCTCTTCTGCCCATTCTTGGTCCTGCAGCCTGGAGTGCTCTCAGGCAAAGCCAGGAAAGGCTAGGTTCAAGGTTCAGGGTAGGTGGAATGATGGTTCCCTGAATATGTCCAAGGCCTAATCCCCAGAGCCCAAGAACCTGTGATCTGACACAGCAAAGGGGACTTTGCAGATGGGATAAAGTTAAGAGTCTCAGGATGGGGAGACTAAACCGGGTTATCCCATAGGGCCAATGTCATCACAGGGTCCTTCTAAGAGGGAGGCATGAGGGTCTGAGTCAGAGAAGATGTGATGATGGAACAGAGGTCAGAGCCAAGGAATGTGGGTGGCATCCGGGAGCTGGAGCAGGCAAGGAGCACAGCCTCCAGAAGGAACACAGCTCTGCTGACACCTGGATTTTAGCCACGTGAGACCCAGCTTGACCTCTGACCTCCAGAACTCTAAGAGGATACATTTGTGTTGTTTTAAGCCACTGAGTTTCACATAGTTTGTTGTTATTGCAATGGGACACATAACCGGGTTTGAATCCTGGTGTGGCCACTTAACTGGCAGGGTGCCCCTGGGTGCACGAGCCCGGGTTTCCCATCTGGAGAGGGGTAACAAGGGAGCTTGCTCCCAAGTCGATGATGCAGGTAAAGCACAGAGTGTACCCTGACGGCTGTCGAGGTGGGTTCCACTCCTAGCATCACCCGGACGTCCATGCTCTTAACCTACCAGGGAAGCCGCCTGCTGAGTGAAGAGGCCCAGTTCCCCCTGCAGCCATCGCCCTCACCAGCAATGCCTTCTGGAAGCCCTGCGGTGTCGAGGTCGGAAGGTTTGGTGCCCGGCTTATTCCCATGAGTCCTCAGGCAGGATGAGCTCTGCCCTCCTTTCCAACAGCCTCCAATGGGGAAGGCCAAGTACACGGTCACTCTCTGGCTAGAGCCAGTGGGAACAGGACGTCCTGGTCCTCTTGTCCTGGCCAGGCCCAGCAAGCTATTTTTGGGCACGTTTATTGATGGGACACGGGTGCCCGGCTGGACTCCGGATTCGAGAGGAAGGCCTCAGGCTGGCCCAGGGCTCTGCTTCTCCGGGCCCTTTGCTGCCCTGGGGCAGCCATCAGTCGTGCCCTGTCTAGACCCCAGGACAAGCGTGTAGTCTGAGCTGGCTGGCTCTGGGAAGGGCAGGGGTGCCCACTGGTGTGGATGGATGCCGAGGGTCTCGTAGACGACTATCTCCCCAAGTTCTGGAGCCTGATTCGCTTCACGGGAGGCAGAACCCAGAATGAATACAAGAACCAGTTTGAGGTCAGATGTAAGTTCAAATCCCAGCCGTGTCCCACACTAGCAATTTCACGTTGGGCAAGCCGGGTCCACTCTCCGGGGCCCTGTCTCCCTGCGTGTGAAATGGAATTGGTACTAATCCTCACTCCCAGGCAGGGAATGAGGCTTACATGAGGTAGAGCGAGCAGCTCAAAGCCTGGCATAAGTACTCGATAATTAATATTAGATTGCAAATACTGATTGACCGCTGACACCTATGGGGTGTCGCATGAGCTAGGCACTGGGCCCAGCTATCAATCTGTGTTATCTCAACTTCATCCCTGGTAATTTCTGGGGCAGGTGAGTGACACGGTTACAGGTCCCATTATTAGCCTTTTGTATGGATCAAGAAATCGAGGCTCAGAAAGACTGATGACTTGCCCAAGATCACACAGTGAATATACAGCAGAAAAGCCTGCCTTGAAGCCCCAGACTGGGGACACGGCAGGCCCCACGTCCCAGGGCCAGACCCCTTGTCCCCACACTTCTTCCCAGAGGGTGGTTACAAAGGTCCTGTAAACACCCGAGCTCCCTGCCATGCCGTGGTCACCTCGGTCATCCCTCAGTCCCGGGAAGTGAACTCCTGGTCCTTCCACATGATGGGAATCCAGAAACCAAAGGTTCCAGAATATTTTTTTTAACCCTCCTTCCTCCTCCTCAGGGTTGTTTTGTTTTCCTGGTTCGTTGGCTTAAGTTCTCCAAGACACCGGCTGGGTTGGCCAAGGCCCCGGCTGACTTGGAGGGGGGTTTGCTGTGTATGCTGGGAGCGGGGCACGGGGGCTCCGAATGCCGTGCAATGTACGTAAGGGCAGAAGTAGACGCAGGGCCTCCGTGCTAGGGTGTTCTCGTGGCCACACCTGCTCACAATTGACACCAGCACCCTGAGGGCACCCTGTGGCCTCCTTCAGTAAAAGAAGCAGCCCTCTGCCAGATGTGCTCTCCTGCCTCTCTACCTCCCCTCCCACACCATTCTATAAAAAGGCTCTGTTTTTCCCAGCTTCCAGGCCTTTGCCACGGCTGTTCCCTCCCTCAAAATGCTGTTCCTCCATTCTCTTCCTGCCAGACGCCTCTCCTTAAACTTTACAGCTTCTTCAAGGTAAGGTCTTTCCAGAACCTTCCTCAATCCCCAACAGCATGTCCCCTGGCTTGGGGTTGCCATAGCAACAGAAAGATACTGCTTCCAGAACTTCCTTTTGCCCCAGACTCCATTGCCCAGCTGGCCAGTTGACACCTCCACGTGGGTACCACACAGACCCCTCGAACACCACAAAACAGAGCCTCCGATTCCCCTCCTAAGTCCTGGTCCCGCCTGCTAGTCTCACCGCAGGACATGGTGCCCCCCTCGCACAGGTGCTCAGGCCAAAACCTAGGGAGCATATTTGATTCCCTGTCCCCTCGCCCCACACATCCCATTCATCAGGAGTCCTATTGACTTGACTGTCAAACACATTCTGAATCCATATTCCTGTTGTCACCTTTATAGCCAGGAATGGGCAGTGGCCTCCTCCCTAGTCTCCCAGCTTCCAGCTTTGCTCTCTTCCACCCACCACAGTCAGAGGAAACTGTTTAAAAGATAAATTAAGTCCTGTCATTCCCCTGCTCAAAACCCTCTAGGACTCCCATTTCCCTTAAAGTACAAATCGTCCTCCTCACTGTGGCCTATAAGACCTTGTATGATCTGACCTTTGCCTACCTCCCAGCTTCATCCTCACCCCTCCCTCCCTCCCTTCCTCTGCTCCTGCCACACTTGCCTCCTCCCTGTTCCAAACTAGCAAGCTTGTACCTGTCCCCAGGCAGAAACTCGTTGTTCCTTTTGCCTGAACTTCCTTCTGCCAGATATCTATCTGACTCATTCTCTCACTTTATTCAGGTGTCTGCTCAAGTATCATCTCCTCCTGGCCTGGCTGTCTAAAATACTCCCCTCCATCACCACCAAACCCTCTACCTATTTTATTTTCCTTCGTTGTAGGCGTTACTATCTAACATATTATATATTATCAGTATATTTGTCCTGATCTGGTTTGCTGCTCAGTGTTTAACAACTGGCTGTCAGCAAGGGGGAGCTCTGATTTTACCTTTTGCCAATTTTTGTGGTGTAAATACTCCCACTGTGACCGATTTCAACGTGAATTCCTTGAACTTGGAGCGGATAAGAGATGAGCTTTGGTGGCCTGCCATGACACGCTATTTCCATCATATAATAAATAGCCCGATGTCGTATCATATAATATGATACAGTAGATGTGGATAAGCTTGACAGTATAGACAATCATGAAACAATTAGAGAGCGATAGGTTTGAGTAGTTGCTACCTTTTTTTTTAATATTTTATTTATTTATTCATGAGAGACACAGAGAGAGAGAGGCAGAGACATAAGCAGAGGGAGAAGCAGGCTCCATGCAGGGACCCCGACGTGGGACTCGATCCTGGGACTCCAGGATCATGCTCTGGGCCAAGGGCAGGCCACTGAGCCACCCAGGTGCCCCTGAATAGTTGTTACCTTTGTTTTTTTATTGTAATCTATGTAAAGGTAAGTTCCCATAATATAATTTCTAACGGTGACTGTGTCTAACAACCAGTTTGCAGAATTCACAAGCCGGTACAAGGCAGCTCCAGCGCAGCACTGGCTAGAAGTGTGGAGGACAGGGATGTCCTCAGTCCTGTCCCCTGCTGTGTCTCTGGGGTCGGGAGGACTAGAAGGAGCTCAGAGCAGGTGCCCAGCCCCAGAGTTTGTTGAGCTTTTTCTAATGCATCTGTTTGCATCAGAAAGCACAAACTGTTTGCCTCCATCCACTTGACTCTGTAGGCTGAGTCCAGCCCACAAACGGGTTTTCGTTTGGCTCTCAGAATGTTTTTAACATTTAAAAAAAAATTGTTGCCAACATTTAAAAGTCAAGAAATGTTTGCAGGAAATTCCACATAAACCTAGATTTGCAGCTTCTTTTGAAAAGTCAGAAGGTCTGGGCATACTGGTCCTGATTCTCTTGTGATGACTGAGGCAGGAGCTAAGGAGGAGCCTCCCCTTTCCGAAAGGGGAATTACAGTCCCCAACCCCTCTCCCTGTCACCTCACAAGGGGAAGGGGGGCCTTCACTCATTTATATGACCCGCTGGGCCCTATAGACGGCTGCGTTGTCACTGTCGTCTTAGCCTGCATTCTGGCGCCAGTCACCGCGTCCTCGCCAGACTAGGACCACTTTGAGAACGGGCTCTGTGACTTAGGTCCCCTCGGGCCTCCATTCCTGCGACAAGGCCTGACACACAGTAGGCCCACAGGTCCTGGAATTTTGTTAAATGTTTGTTGTCAACGAATCCCAGTCCCACCGCCCCCCCTGTCATCCGCCCCGGGTTACCCTAAACTGGGACATGCACTAAATCCAAGCCCCGACTGGAATGTGACAAAGAGGTTGGCCGAGGCCAGCGTTTAAAAATACCCCAGGGCTGGTCAGCTGCAAAATGCTCAGAGGTGTTGAAACAAGCAGGCCAAGTCTGGCCAGAGGCCAGCCGCCCCAACTTTGCTCTGTGAATGAGGGCTGACGGGAGGGGCCCCCACCAGCTCAGGATGGGGGTGAGGGGCGGGGAGACTGGGCCGCAGGGGGGCCCCCACCCCCACCCCAGCACCCTGCTTGGGAAAGGTCAGCGCTGTTTATAAACAGCACTGGGTGACGTGACATAATTTCACATAAAGGGTTACCAGGCAGAGCATGGACCCAGGGTGGCCTCCCCTGATGTTTCCACGCCACGGCCTCCTGGCATCGAGGGAGCCGGGATGTTGCTCACCCTGTGGTCTTCCCGCGGCCTTCAGAGCCACTGCCCAGCTTGCTGGAGCCACAGTTAAAAATAAGGCTCGCAGCACAGTCCCCTGGGGGACAGCCAGCGTGGGGGCTGGACAGGGGACGAATGAGCTCTGGTCAAGTGCCCACCGGGTACCAGGCGCTTCAGAGGCATTAGATCACTGAGTCTCACCATAGCCTCTGGAGGAAGGGATTGTCCTCCCATCTACAGATGGGAAAACCGAGGCCAGGCAGTGATGCCACACACTGGTTCAGGGTTTCCTGGTAAGTTTGTGGCAGCTCTGGCATTCAAGGCCACGAGAAAGTGCCAAGAAGTCAGGGGCTAGGTGTTTCACTCTGCTGGGTCCCAGGCCCCTGGAACGGTGGCTGGATCTCAGCAAGCCCTGAGTCAGCTCTTAGCTCACCCATCCCAGATCAAAACCTGCTCCCCTCTTGGTGGCCTATGTGTGTTGACATGCGGCAGTGAACAAAGCACAGAAACCAAACCCTGTCCTTGTGGAGCTGACATTTTGGAGGTGGAGGTGGAGAATGGGATCCACGTTAGTGGGTAAATTATTTCTATTGTGTTTCAGGTGGTGATAAGTATAAAGGAGAAAAGTAGAGAATGGAAGGAGGGCTGGAGGGTCTCGGAGGGATACAGATCCTGAAGTGGGAGCAGGGCCAGGGGAGGCCTCACTGAGCAAGTATTTGAGGACAGAGTTGAAATGAAGCGGGATGGAGCAGGGGGTGGATACCTGGAGGAAAACGTTCCCTGCAGAGGAACGAGCAGGTGCAAAGGCCCTGAGATTGGGGCTGGCATGTATGACGATGAGGAGAAGGCCAGCGTGGCTGGGGCGGGCGGCATGAATGAGGGGGGGCATGGGCGGCAGTGAGGGCAGAGGGTCGCAGGGCCAGCTGGTGCAGAGCCTTGCACATCTTTGGAGGGACTCGGGCTTTCCTCTGGAGCAGATGGGAACCACGAAGGACCCTGAGCAGAGGAGGGCATTGTCTGGATTCTGGGTTCTGAAAGAGCACTGGACTGTCAGGGGCAAAAGGAGGGAAGGGGAGCAATCGTGGAGGAGGTGTCTGCAGTGGTCCAGGCTGCGGGAGATGATGACCAGGCCCGTGGACATGGGCAAGGGGGCAGTCTATGGTCTCACATTCTGGATTTGTTCAGACGTTTAAGAATCCCCACCCTAGGGGTTCCTGGGTGGCTCAGTTGGTTAAGCATCTGCCTTTGGGCCAGGTCGTGATCCTGGGATGGAGCCCCGCATTGGGGTCCCTGCTCAGTGGGGAACCTGCTGCTTCCTCTCCTTCTGCCACTCCCCCTGCTTGTGTGCAAGCTGTCTCTCAAATAAATAAAATCTTTAAAAAAAAAAAAAAAAGGAAAGAAGGAAAGAAAGAAAGAAAAACTGACAGGACACATTGTTCTACCAGTTGTGACGGAAATCAAGAAATCAGGGGTGAGTTCAGGGTTCCAGGCTGAGCAACCGGAAGGATGAGCCTTCCGCCTCATGGAGAAGTCCAAATACTACGCTGGACTCCACAGAAGGACGGATGTGGGGCAGCCCTCCCCGGGGCCGCGAGGGGCCTGCACAAAGCCCATTGCCAATATGATGGATCCCGCTTTGTAAAACCCCTCGTGGTTCAGATAGGAGACTTCCCCAGCTCCCTGCTCCTCATCTGGTGCCAAGGCCTTTGAAAATGGTGCAGAAGGGCGGCCCGGGTGGCTCAGTGGTTTAGCGCCGCCTTCGGCCCATGGCCTGATCCTGGGGTCCCAGGATCGAGTCCCGCGTCAGGCTCCCTGCATGGAGCCTGCTTCTTCCTCTGCCTGTGTCTCTGCCTCTCTCTGTGTCTCTCATGAAAAAATGAATAAAATCTTAAAAAAAAAAAAAAAAAGGAGGGCAGCCCGGGTGGCTCAGCAGTTTAGCGCCGCCTTCAACCCAGGACATGATCCTGGAGACCCGGGATCAAGTCCCACATGGGGCTCCCTGCATGGAGCCTGCCTCTCCCTCTGCCTGTGTCTCTGCCTCTCTCTCTATCTCTGTGTGTGTGTGTGTGTGTGTGTGTGTGTGTCTCATGAATAAATAAATAAAATCTTAAAAAAAAAAAAAAGAAAATGGTGCAGAAGCCACCAGGTCCCTTCTCCCTTCAATGTCTGAAGAGCAGCAAACGCTTCTAGAGCTCTCACTGCGTGCCTGGCAGGACGCCAGCCTTTACATCTGTGAACCCATTTGATCATCACCACAACTCAGAGAGACGGGGACGGTGATTACATCTATTGGCAGGTGGAATGGGGAACGAAGGCCCAGAGAGGTTAAATCACTTAGCTGGGATCACACGGCCAGCAAGTGGCAGAGGCAGGATTAGACTCCAGGCAGTCAGAACCAGGGCTCATGCCCTTCACCTCATGAGGAGCTCACCACTGGCCATAAGAAGCCAAACTGGGCTTGACGCAAGAGGGTTTCAGCCCACCCTTTCCACATAGTAAGGACAGTTGTCGCTTCCTGAGCACCGGCCCCCTGCCTAGTGCCGTACCCACGCTGTCTATTCTGCACGTCAACGGAAGGGGGAGATAGTGCGATGATTGTGCCCATTCTACAGACAAGGAAACTGATGCTCAGAGAGAGGAAGGGCCATTCCAAAGTCACGCACCCAGGCATGAGGACCTGGGGACCCGGGGCTCCAGACACCAAGACCCCATTGTGTCCTTTGCTGCACCTGCCACCTGCTTCTGGCCCTGGTAGTGAGGGAAGTGCTCAGGGCTTGATGGCCATGCTGTTTTCCTCCAGCTGGCTGGCATAGGATAAGGAAGCAGGCCAGGGATGGGGAGGGTTAATTCGGGGGACAGCACAGCCCTCCAGGCTTGCAGATTCTGTCTGGGATAACCCACATTTCTGAGGTGAGCTCTGGGCCATCTGGAGATGCCAAGGCAGGAGGACACAGCCGAGTGTACGAGAGAGGTGGAGGTCCTAGTTGCCTCTGATGACAGAGGAAGTGGTGGGTGGGGTTGTCACAGAAGTTCAGGTCAAGAGCAGTCCCCAGGAGCCAGTGCTCGCAAACCTCTGGCCTCGGCAGCCTCCTTACCTCTCCAGACCTCAGTTTCCACCTCTGTGTAATGGGTTGATCGTGCCTGCATCGGCAGGCTGTTGTTAGACCTAAAGTTGGGCACCCAGGGGGCTCGCTCCTTCTCCAGCTGCCCACTGCTGTCTTCCAAAACAGAAAGCACATAGGACCCCGTGCGTTGTGGGTGCTCGGAGGCCCTGGAGCTGGCTGGACACATGGAGGAAAACCATGACCTTCTCTGGGACTTATCTTCACCTGT